AACATGAGCACATGAACTCATTCAGCAGACTGCAGTTTGTCCAGCAGGGGGAGCTGTAAGTTCCACAGCATGTGATGTGCTGACGTTGCCCTCTGCAGGTAAAGAAAGAAATAGCCCCAGTGTAACATTGAACCAGGCGACAGCTAAAATAAGATGATTAAAAAAGACTGTGGATAAAAAGTACGAGGAGAGAAGTTCAGCAGGAGGCTTTTTGAAACTAAATATTCACTTAAGATGATTTTGTTATTCGTGGTTAAAGACTGACGGCCTGGAAGACTGTCATTGTTGTTTTTATGTGAATTTAATTATTTTTTTCTTCAGAAAAAAACGAGCTGTTGCAGCATAAACATGTTAATTTTCACCACTGACTGGAAGTTGTGTGCAAATCTTGCTAAAGAAAGATAACCCCAATCAGCCTGATGGTGGCGCTGTAACTAAGACCCAGACATTTTGGAAAAGCCATGCCCCTCACACCATAAGAGGGACTGTGTTGGAATTCGACACCCAGCTGAATGTGCTTGACAAAAAAGCCTCAAGAACCATTAAAGTCTGTGAAACTAGATTATCCGCCATTTTGAATTATTATCCAGTGAACTTTAGAGGGGGCGTGGCTCAGCACATATTTAGACCTAACTCCACAACGACTGACTGAGCCAATCATCTCAAAAGTTGCAGGAATAATCCCTGAAAGTTTCAATGAAATTGGCCATTAGGGCAAGGCAGGTTTATGTCTACAGCACATTTCAGCAACAGAGCAACGCTGTTTCCCAAGTAAAATATCAAATGCAGCGAGACAAGGTGCAAAAGAAACACAGTGTAAAAAGACGTTTAAAAGCAATTCTTCAAAGAACAAAAAATAAAAAGTCAAAATATACTGAGACAGGTATAAAAATACAAGAATAAAACTTACAGTTCAAATCAGTTAAAGTATTTGTAGAATATAAATCACAGTTCAGTGTACGTCAGCAGTTCCCAACCGGTGCAGATTTCTCCTCCGTCATCAGTTCAAGGTCCACAAGGTTTAATACACTCAGCGTCATACTTGAGTTTTGCGGTATTGTCGAAAGAGTTTCCTGTCTGTCAAGTAGCTGTCTGTTAGTCACTCACCCTACAGCAAGAAACAGCACTTCATAATAAAAGCTCTGTGCATGATACTCACTGCACTTCAAAATAAAGTGTGGTTTTTTTGACAAACTTGACACCTCAGAGAGTCACTAGCAGCCCATTCAGAATGGATCTGCAACTCACTTTCGGACCGCCACCCACCAGTTGGGAACCACTGCTGAGAGAAGTTAATAAATTTTTGATTTAATAAAAAGCAGCAGGAAACAAAAGTTTTAAGTCTTAATTTAAAAGAAGTGAGAGTTGGTGTAGAGCTGCAGTTTTCTGGGAGTTCTGATCTGTGGAGAATAAAAACTGCTTCTCCATGTTCAGTCTTGACTCTGTGGACACAATGCAGACCTGTCCCTGAAGACCTGAGAGATCTGGATGGTTCAGACTGTAGCAGAAGGTGAGACCATTCAGAGCTTTATTTTGAAAGGGATTCTCTGCCAGACAGAAGTCAACATGAAGACCTCCTGTGAAGAACTGTCTCGGTCTCAGTGAGTACTCGAGCAGCAGCGATCTGAATCCTCTGCAGTTGTCTGATGATAAAGACTCTGTTACAGTAGTCGAGTCTACTGAAGATAAATTCATGGACAAGTTTGTCCAGATCCTGCTGGGACATCAGTCTCGGCAGGATCAGTCCTTTTGTCTTCAATATATCCTGAAGGTGACGGCAGGCTGACTCTGCAACTGAATGTAGCTGTTGAAGTTCAGCTCTGAGTCCATGACCACAGATTTCTGTCTTCCTCTGTGGTTCTTAACATTGAGCTCTGAACATTGAAATCGTTCATCCTCACCTCCAAAAACAATGACCTCAGTTTTCCCTTTGATTAATTGAAGAAAATTGCGTCACATCCAATCCTTGATTTGTTCGATGCTCTCAGTCAGAGCTTGAGTTGGACCATCGTGTCCTGGTGACATCGTTATGTAAATTTGAGTGTCATCTGCAGAACTGTGGCAACATATTTTCTGAGCCAGTGAAAACATGTAGATGTAAAACAGAAGAAGTCCCAGAATGGAGCCTTGGGGAACTCCTCGTCATTTTTGTCCACTCAGACTTGTAATTCAGGCATGAAAATCGCTCACCTTTCGGCGAAATTTGCTGTTATAAATACAAAATGGATGACTTACGTGAATCGTGTAGATCCGATGAGAAATTTTTTTTTGGGGGGGGGGGGGGGCTATTTGTTAAGTAGGAATTTAACCAGTTTCGTACTGTGCCAAAAAGTCCATCCCAGTTTTCTCATCATCTCCTAATATGTTGTGGTCAACGAAGTTAAATGCGGCACTGAGATCCAGAAATACTGAGACTGAGATTCTGCTGCGGTCTGTGTTTGAGTGGACGTCAGTTTAGTGCCATGAAGTTATTCATTGGGTGAAAACGGCTTTTACAGTGACTTAACTTAAAAATAGGAGGTCTGACATATTTAATAATAATATATAATCAATCAGTAGTGACAGGTACAGATTATTAGTGTGATGCTTCTGCTGAGTTGTTATTTCACATTTTTCTGTATTTTTTTAGCATCTAACTGCTCCTGCATACTTTTAGCCACAGAATGTTCAGCTCCTTGCGGTCATGGTTGCCATGACTTTTTTTTAAATCTTTCTTTAAAAAAGGTTGTTTTGCTGCCTCTCACAGCAGCTGGAGTTGGACAAAAAATAACTTCATTCACTGGGCCGACTGCCGGCAACTTTTAAGGTGGAACGTTAACTTGTAATGTTACTCAATGCATGAGTTGATGACGTGAATCCATCAGCACACCTTAAATTTCACTGTGACAACTTTGACCATCACTTTAGTTTTTATATGACACACACTTTTAGTAATGACTTTAAAAATATAGATTAATTTGGAGCGGATTATGTGAAGGTCATATATTCTAATCCTCACTTCCTGTGGGCTACAGCAACACTAAACCCCTGAGCTTGCCTGAGAAGGACTAAATGCACAAAGCTGCTATTTTTAAATATCCCATGGAGAGAGACTCTCACTGCAGCCTGTTCTATTTTGTTGTGAAAATGTGGGCGTGCAGCCTCGTTCTGTGGACGATAAACCAGGTGCAGACTTCCATCTGTGTCACCGCTGATGAGGAAATACAGCGAGTGCTGGACGGAGCAGTGAGTGACAACAACCCCGCCCACATTTAAGAGGACTGTCTGAACACACCGAGGGTCTAGGGACCATGTCTGAAGGCTTACTGCTGGTTCCAGAGGGACTGGACTGAAAGGGTTTGGTGGAGACGGGGCTGATGGGACAAAATGTTGAGCTGGAGTGGAGGACTCGACTGTCAGAGTGCAGAGAGCTTCTTAAGCATTTCTCTTAAACTCGCTGTCACGCCCGCAAATTTTCATTCTACACACACCAATCAGTACATCCAATCTTCAAACCTTTATTTAATTCCACTTTGACATTCTACTCCCCGGTATAAAGTATTTATACTTGTCTACATTTTTTGATCCACTTCTACTCCTGCATACTTTCAGCGACTGAAACCATTCATATCCAAACATTCTGCTCTTTTACGTCATGTCACTAAAATGCTTCAGCATTTCTAACTTCAGCCTTTTCAGTTGATGTTAAACCTTTGACCTTTTCTAGCAGTGTGTTTCTTAACATCTTTATGTGAAGCAGTTCAGCTTCCAGTTCTGCGCATCTTTCGTTGTAGCTTTCAGTTTTTTTCAGCTGTGTAGTTGATGCGTTTGAGCTTCTTTAGGTGATTTTTTTTTTAATATTTCTGCATTTCAGCTGTCAGCATCCACACGTATTTTGTGCAGGAAACGTATTCTCTTGTTGTCTTCGAAGAATTGCTAGATGATTGCAGTGTTTAAGGCCTGTGGGAAGACACCTGAGAGGAGGGACAAATTAAGATTTGTAGAAGTTCTGAGGCTAGGAATGTGACAGTTTTGAAAAAGCCCGTTGGCAGAATAGTAAGACAGCAGGGGGCGCTGCAAAAGCAAAACAATGGTGGTGCCATAACACAAACACAAACACATAAACCATGTGTAAAATTTTAAAATGGCTCAACAGGGGGCGCCACCAGCTCCAAACACGTGAACTGGCTTTGTGAACATTTGTGTCATAAATCAATGAGTTTGTCCAAACATCACCAAACTCTGTGAATATTTTTAATGAAGCCTTTGAAGCGTCTTCCCAAAATATTTCTGCAGCTGACCAACAGGAGGTGACAGTGTTGTCAAAGAAGGGCGTGGCTTGTGAGAGCTTTACTGTGCGTTCACACCAAACGCGATGGACGCGATGTCATCGCCCGTAACGTGAGTATCGCGTCGCTTGATCACAAATGTCACCTTTTTGATCATCGCTTCAATCACGATGACGCAACCCTCCTCCCGCTATTTTCTTCACCTCCCGCTATTTTCTCGTCAACCATGGCTGAGTTAACTACCGTAGCTGCTCTTTATCTGTTGTGGACATCTGATTTGGATCGGAGACCCAAACGCCGCCGTGTCTGCGTTCACAATATCCTCCAGAAACGCACACAGCTGGGTGAATATCATCACCTCCTGCAAGAGCTGCGTCTGGATGACGGTCGTTTCCAGCGGTACTTCAGGCTGACGCTGGCCCAGTTTGAGGACCTGTTGGCCCACTGATTGGATGTCGCAGCAAAGTTCAAATTTTTCAACTGAAAGCGACACGCAATGAGGCAATGGACGCGTCATCGTTTCATCGCGTCGCTCTTATCGTCTGAAACGCGTCGCCCGAAGCGACATCGCGTGTCATCGTGTCATTTACATTGATTTTGAATGGAAACTTGTGGCATTCATTGCGTCCATTGCGTTTGGTGTGAACGCACAGTTAAACGTAAACACATGAGCGTCTCTGTCCAACCTGTTTATTTCTGTACAGAAACAGCTTTCAACTTTAAACAGTCCATGACAGCTTGGACCTCAAATTCACCACTTGTGGTTTTATTTGAAGTTCATTTTTTTAACAGAAAATAATTCAAAGCACCAAAGAGAGACTTAAGTTGGTGAACAGTGTTCATGAAAAAGTACCTGAAACAAAACACGTCCAGTGAACCAACACATCCCACCACAAAGCAGTAAGAGTACTAATTTGAGTACTGTCTGTACCACAGGTCTAAAAATACTTCATTACTTGATGTTGTTTTAAGAGTAAACATGTTTTACATATGGATCCAGTTTTCCCAACATCTGGATGCTCCACATCAAACCAGCAGATTGTTGGTTTCGTTCTCACTGTCAGAAAACATCCAGGTTCAGTTTGGGTTTTCCCAGTTTACCCAGTAAGTCCAGTCCGGTCCGAGCAGCCAACAGAGACACCATGTCGTTACAGCCCGAGTCCACCGCCACGTCGTACGCCGTCTGACCCCTGGCGTTCCTCCGCCTCACAGTGGCCTTACAACTGTAACCGGAAAGAGAGGATAATGTCATGATGATGTCACTCTGACATCAGGAAGTGGGAGGAGCAACAACAATGGCTAAATGATCTCTGTAACATCTGTGGAAACGCGTCGAACCAGTCAGGAGGAGGATCCTAAAGAAACCAGGTGACCTCACAGTTTTTTAGATGTGTTTCTGTGAGTGTGAAAAAATAAACTCTTCTTCATCCAGGTAAACATTTTATAAGAAAAATAACAAACGTCTTTTTGTCATTTGACTTTACAGCAAGAAGAGTTGGAGTCCCTTTGTACCAAGGCAGCGGCTCAGCTCCACAACAGGTGTTCACAGGTATTTTACCACTGACCGGCGGATACGTGTTCAGGTGCAGCAGTACTGGAATCAGTTCTGTTAGTAAAAGTACCGGTAGCAATTTTCTCTGAGTCATAAAGAGGTCACATGTCGGAGATGTGTTCGTACAGGTGTGTTATACCTGAGCAGGACCTGAGCACACTGCAGACCTTCAGAGCCCAGAGCCGCAGCCTCATGCAGAGCTGTGTTCTTCATCCTGAGGAGGAGGAGGAGACTTGTCAGACATGTTGGTTCTGTTTTTCAGAGATGTTTGCATGTTTTGGTTGTGTTGTGTGTTATGTGTGTTCGGAGGAGGATCAGGAGGTTTTAAATGTTATTCAGGTTGCGTCTGTCTCAACGTGTCAGGTAGCTCCTTGATTCCGTTCATTGTTATGAAAATCTGAAGTGATGTAAAGTGTCAGTTTGTGCAATGTTTGGTTCACGTGGTGACTTCAGGACGTTTGAACTCCAGTTTTTCTTGGCATTGACTTTATATGAAATTTGTCTCAAACATTCACTGACATCGTTTTGTCTTTGGTCTGAACCATAGACTGTATATAAAGATGGACGACGCGTCTCCGCTTCCCACTGTACAAAAATGAAGCCAAAATGTCTCTCATACCGCCGCTGCCATCTTGTGTAGCTGATGTCATGATCTTGGGTTCCCGCCCATACACCCACACGACCAATCACAAGCAGCACCTTTGATCATGAGTACACAGCTGTCAATCATGATGTCACATGAGATATTTTTTGGGGCGTTTTTAAGCCTTTAATGTATAGGACAGACAAGTGTGAAAGGGGGAGAGAGAGAGGGGGGATGACATGCAGCAAAGGGCCACAGGCTAGAGTCGAACCCGGGCCGCTGCGGCAACAGCCTTGTACATGGGGTGCCTGCTCTACCACTAAGCCACCGATGCCCCACACCCCCTTTTTAATTTAAATAACTTATTAAAACCAAAGTGATCAGAAAAACAAACACTTGAACAAACCTCAGCGTGAGAACGACCTGAAAATGACAGAAAACATCTTTGGGAAAAACTCTGTCCAATGTCCTGTCTGCTAACATGAAGGGGGTGGGATTTATGACCTGTACTGCAGCCAGCCACCAGGGGGTGATCCAGATGTTTGGAGTCTGATACCCACTGAAAACGTGTTTGACTTTGTGCTGAGTGTTCAGATGCAGCTCTCACTTTGGTCATACAGGGACCAGATGGCTCATAACAGCAGCCTAGGTACCCATATTCCACAGGACAGCTGGGGACATGATCATAAGTCAAAGCACATGTAGACTGGATGGACAAACTGCCATGACCTCCAGCAGCCCTGCGAGGGTAAAGAGCTGGTTCACCGTTCCACAACCAAGACGGAATCTGCATCGCTCCTCCTGAATCTCAGGTTCAACAATTGGAGCCTCCTTTCCAGCACCATGGAGTAAACTTTTCCTGGGAGGCTGAGCATTGTGATACCCTGATAATTGGAGCACACCCTCAGGTCCCCTTTTTTAAAAATGAGAACCACCACTCCATAATTTCCGTACCCGATCTCCACGCAACACTGAAAAGGTGTGTCAGCCAAGACAGCACAACAATGTCCACAGACTTCATCATCTTCATCCACACCTGGCACCTTGCTGCTGGGGAGCTTCTGACTACCTCAGAGACCTCTGTTAGGAATATGAACGAGAGTTCCCCCAAGTCTTCAGACTTTGTCTCCTCCATGGAGGACATGATGGCCGGGTTCAGGAGTTCTTAAAAGTGTTCTTTACACCTCTCAACAGTATCCCCAGTCTGGCTCAGCAGCTCTTCTCCCCTGCTGAACGCAGTCTGAGACAAGCCGTGCTTTCCCTTCCTGAGGCGTCTAACAGATTGCCAGAACTTCCTTGAGGCCAACTGAAAGTCCTTCTCCATACCCTCCCCAAACTCCTCCCACACCCAGGTTCTTGCTTGGGTGAGTACCACAGCTGCAGCCCTTCTGGCCTACCGGCACCTGTCTGCTTCTTCAGGACATCCCTTGACCAACCAAGCCTGAAAGGCCTCCTTCACCCTTGGTGTCCATCAGTGGGTTCTGAGGTTGCCCCCACGACAGGCACTAACAACCTTCTGACCACAAAAAATACCTTAAAAAAGGTCTTTGAGGTCTTCAGCTCCCACCTGGAGAAGAATTCAAACAGGGGCCTCTGCCAGACTTTCCCAGTTCACCCTCACTACATGTTTGGGTTTACCAGGTCTGTCCAGCAGCCTCCCTGCCATTTGATCCAATTTACCACCAGGTGGTCATCAGCTGACAGCTCCAAGTATATCTAGATGTTCCACGTCTCTGGAGATGGTCTGCGATGCCAGAGCGGAGCAAAGCTGGGTGCCTGCAGCACCTGCCACCCGGCACACAGTGCAGCCGACCCTGATGCCTGTCCCTGCAGGTGGAGGGCCATCAGGGTGTTGACATTAACATTTAAATATGGACATTATGTCTCAGCTACATCAATGATACAACAAATGGTAATGAGAAAAGCGAGTTTTAACCAGATTCGCTGTTTTTTGTGGATTTTGTGATATAACAGAGAAGTTTTTGTAAAAACAGAATAATTTGTTGTAAAATACTGAGAAATTATCTTGATAACATCCAAATATGTCGTTCAAAACTGAGCAGATGTGATTTTCTCGTGTCGGCAGTGATAGTCATGAAGAACTGAAGCTGATCTCAGGTCTGTTGTTTGAAGTCTTACGGTCCAGACTGCTGATCGACGGCGGCTCCTCTCTGCACTAAAACAGGAAGGACGTCATGGTGGCCATTCAGCACGGCGACCGCCAGAGCATGTTGGCCATCACTGCTGCAACAGGAGGGATCCGCCCCCTGGTGGAAAATGAAGACACAAACAGACCAATCAGTGTAAACTGTGTCAGGTGATCCAGAGGAGGCTGCTGATTGGCTACAAAGGCATACCTGATCCAGGAGCTGCTGGATGACGCTGACTTGACCCTGACCCGGACTAAGCTCCTTCAGCAGCTGCACGTCCTTCACCTGGAACCAGGAGAACCAATCAGAAAGGAGATTTCACTTCTGACTGAACAGGAAGGCAGGTAGACTCAGGTGAAGAACTCCAGCTTCATCCTCTACTTCTGTTTCATTATCAGAATGATGGTTTCTTACCGGAGGTTTCGGTGTCAGGTTCAGTCTGGGAGGCTTCGTCACACCTGGAGACGGATCACTTCCTGTCAGACAAACAAACAAACAAACCACTGAGGAACGCTGGGCTCATGCTTCAGATACTTCCCTTCAACCAACTGTGTGGACTGACCATCAGCACCTTTAGCGTCAGTTTTAGCATTAGCTCTTAACAGAATGAAATAGTGGAAACCCTGAGGAGGCCAATTCTGTTGTGACACATTCTGGTGTTCATACTCCTGTTCTGCTCCTGTCTGCAGGCTACATGCTTTAAATGATGTCACTGATCAGGGACGTCCTGGGGCCAATCAGCTGCTCAGGATCAGCTGTATTGAGATGTACAGAACCCAATCTGATCTGATCTGACTGCGATCGTCTCGTCCATGATATGTGACAGAGGTTTTATAGCTAATGAATAATGTTCTTACTGAGACCGCTGCTGTCGGCAGATCGCTCTGTAACGCTGCTCAGAGTCTCAGTCCGACCTGCAGTTCCAACGCTGTCACCTGCCGGACTCACCTGAGGACAAACACTCCATCAGTCACATGACTTTACTGATGAAACACAGAAATGAACTAGGTGTGTCTGCAAGGTGTCGGGACTCAAGAACAGACCTGATGTTGTTCTTCCCGTCCCGCCGACACAAAGCTGACGGTTATGTTGACTTCATAATGATCTTCTTGAATCACAGCAGAAACCATCTGAAGGAGAGGCAGGAACACAACACGTCTTGTGACATACCTGTACAGGTGATCTTAATGACCTCACACACAGGAAGTGAACTCAAACGACCCGCTCACAGATGAGTCTCAACACGAGTCTCAAACTCCTCTGAAACTTCAGTGAATGTATTCCAGTGATGATGTCACTGCTGTACAGGTGAGGTACAGGTGAGGTGAGGCGTACCCGGCCCAGACGAGGTTCTCCCAGCAGAGCCCTGAAGGGTGCGTTGTTCTGAGCGTAGCTCCTCAGGTGAGCGCACACATGATCCAACTGCTTCCTCCAGTAACCTGAAGACACGGAAGACTAATAAGACGACTGAGTCCCTCCTCTACAAGTACCTGTAGTACTGTACCTCTGTAGAACTTTACCTCTGTAGAACTTTACCTCTGTAGAACCTTATCTTTGTAGAACTTTATCTCTGTAGTACTGTACCTCTGTAGAACTTTATCTCTGTAAAACTTTACCTCTGTAGAACTTTAGCTCTGTAGTACTTTATCTCTGTAGAACTTTACCTCTGTAGAACCTTGCCTCTGTAGTACTTTATCTCTGTAGAACCTTATCTCTGTAGAACCTTATCTCTGTAGAACTTTATCTCTGTAGAACTTTACCTCTGTAGAACCTTATCTCTGTAGAACTTTATCTCTGTAGAACTTTACCTCTGTAGAACTTTACCTCTGCCTGGGCTGATGGCGGTCAGCAGCGGTTGGCGGTCTCTGGTCGCCTGCTGCCGGCTGAGTTGTTGCGCCCTCTGTTGCTCCTTCCTCTCCATCTCAGTGGCTGATGGGTAATAGAGCCCAACAGTCTGTGTGTACTGCTCAGAAGTGGGTGTGGCTAACTTTCTGCCCGGGGCAGGAACTAATGAGGGCGTGGCCTGCCAGGTGGCATTATGGGATGTTGGAGCTGAAACCTGTTCACAGAGAGCAGCCTGTTTAATGTTGTACATCATATAATGACCCGTGAGTGACATCATGGCAGCGGTGATGCATACCTGGTTGGTGGTGACGCCCTCAACAGGTCGTGTGATGTCACTGCAGGATGTAGGTGGGGGCGGGGCTTCCAGGAATGCGCTGCAGGCTGTACAATAGAAGGCGTATGGGTGTCCGCTTGCTCCACATCGCCAACAAACAACACAGCTGGCAGCATGACCGGGCTGGAAATACACATCAAGTAAACATGTTTAACGTAAATAAGTCACGTGTTAGCGGTTAGCAGTAGTTTTAGTAGTTGTGGTAGTCAAAGTAGTCAAAGTAGTTGTAGTAGTTAAGGTAGTTACAGTAGTTGCAGTAGTCAAAGAAGTTGTAGTAGTCCAAAGTGCGGCCATTTTTAACAAAACAGGATGCTGAAAAAGTGATTCATGCTTTTATCAGTAGCAGATTAGACTACTGCAATGCACTTTTTACTGGTCTCCCAAAACAGCCATAAAAAGTTGGAACTTATACAAAATTCTGCAGCCACACTTCAAACCAAGACCAAGAAGAGAGAGCATGTCACTCCTGTTTTCACTGAACTGCACTGGCTCACTGTTTCTTGTAGAATTGATTTTAAGGTCCTTTTAATTACTTACAAAGCTCTTAACGGTATAGCACCTTCATACATCTCTGACCTTGTAACATTTTATGAACCACAAAAAGCCCTGAGATCCTCCAAAGCTGGTCTTTAAATTGTGCCCAAAGTGCTCCATAAACAAAGCGGGGATGCTGCTTTCATGAACTATGCACCAAAACTGTGGAACACCCTGCCCATGTAAGACAGGCAACCACTGTGGGCATTTTTAAAAAAAGAACTTAAAACGCACCTCTTTCAGAAGGCTTTTAGCTAACTCATTATTATCTTTTATCCCTCAAACATGTTTTATTCATTTTCTCTTTATTTTATTGTATTTTATTCCGTTTTTAATATACTGATTTTTACTCATTTGTTTTATTGTATTTTATCTATGTTTTTATTTTGCTGTTTCTACTATAATATTGTTGTGCTGTTTGGGCTGAGAAAGCCATGTGTAAATAAGGTAAAGGAGGTTATTGGGTTGGTGTGGGGAGCAGTGAGACCTGGCATTAGGGGAGTGTCTCTGGGACGCCAGAGATCACTGTCCAGCCTCCTGGAGGTGTCGTGGGACCAACTAGATGAAACACTGGTGAAAGGAGGTTCCCACCCGATGACCCCAAAGACATGTTAGTTATCACTGCTCACTGGTCTGTATAGTTAAGCCTTGTGAATCTGAAGCACTTTGAGCTGCATTTCATGTGTGAAAGGTGCTTTACAAATAAAGTTAATAAATTATTATTATTATTATTATTGTTATCTTTATTAGTTGCAGTAGTCATGAAAGTAGTTGTAGCAGTTTCAGTAGTCTTTGTAGTCGTAGTGGTTGCAGTAGCTGGAGTTATTGCAGGTGTACGACGGCTGAGCGCAGGTGTGTGTTCACCTTTGAGCCGCACCAGTCGCAGTATCTGGCGTCACTGTGATTCAAACGTTTACATCTGGAGCAGGTCAACTTCCTGCTGCCTGCTGAGTGGACAGAGGGGGCGCTGTTCCCAACACACACTGCCTGCAGCACACACACACACACACACACAGGTAAATCTGTGCAGATGAGTCAGTTAAAACAAAGTGTGTGTGTGTGTGTGTGTGTGTGTGTGTGTGTGTTACCAGCTGCAGGCGGCTCTCGCAGGTCAAACAGTTGGAGACGTGAGGTGGATTCCCGCTGCCACAGCAAACACACACCACATGCTCCTGCACAGCAAACACACAGAGTACAATCAGCACTGACAGGTGCGTCAGGTGTGTGCGTGAAGACGACAGTGAACGTACCTGCAGTGTGAGGCTGGACTGTGGGCGGAGCTGTTGATGGATGGAGGCGTCGCAGATTAAACAGGTCTGAGTGTTCACAGGAACCAGAGTGTTACAGAACACACAGCAGACCGTCTGATGACAGAACACACACAGTAACACGGCATGAGACCGTCTCAGTGTCACGTCACACCTACAGCAGGTGAAACAGTGACCAGTGTTTGAGCTGCATGGTCAGACGTTACAACAGAACAACACAGAGTCACATCTGATCAACTCCTGTGAACCTGCGGGAAGCTCGGCAGACTCAGAAAACATGTCGGCCTTCAGCTGAAACTTGTCGACAGACACTTTGGTGAAAATGGAAACTGTTCCAGAGCTTTGGGGCGACTACCAGGAGAGCTCGGCCGCCGTTCCCCCCGAACCTCGAACCCCCGAACTACTGAACTTGGGGGGGGGGGGGGGGGGGGGGGGGGGGGGGGTCATCCGAATCAAATCGATCGTCAATCATTTGAATGACCTGATATCGATTCATAAAATCTGACATCGATATTTAAAGCAACACAATGGAGTTTTTGAGCCCTCAAAATATATATCCAAGAACCTTGTGATGGTTCATCAACTCACAACAGGTTGGATGACTCCACCGTCAGTGTTGGAGAGTCTGCTTCACTTGCACTGGCACTATGCAGTGTCAGGGTAGGAATCACAATCACAATCCTCCTCATCATGTCCCCCTCCCCGTCATATCCCCCTCCCCGTCATATCCCCCTCCTCGTCACGTCCCCCTACTTGTCATGTCCCCCTCCTCGTCATGTCCCCCTCCTCGTCATGTCCCCCTACTCGTCATGTCCCCTTCCTGGTCATATCCCCCTACTCGTCATATCACTTCCTCGTCATGTCCCCCTCCTGGTCACGTCCCCCTCCTCTCTTTAGAGTAGCGTAGTCGAACCGAGGTGAACTAAGTTAGCTGTGGTTGTCATGGCTGAAGCGACAAAGAAAAGAAAATGGGAGAGCGATAAAACAAGACCTCCACAAGGATTAATATTGGGCCGGCTTTCACACGCTGGCGAGAGCTGAAAGAGGAGGAGGGACGCCCGACCGATGGTGACCTGGTGCTGTTGCTGCTGTTACCCTCTATTGAGGAGACTCACTGTCTGCAAATGATTACAAGAAGGAAATAAGTTAAAATAAACGAACTCATTTCTAAACTAGACAATACTTATGTTAAAAACAAAATTAATTAGTTGTAGACGTCTCAGTAGTAGCTTATGGTGATGCTAACATTAAGCAAGTCATGACAGTGTGTTCAATAACATACGCTAACAGCTAGCTAAGGGAGCTGCTATTTAAATTAGCATATAGCTAGTTAGCTACTTTGACACAGAGGTTAGTTCATTAATTAAGCTAACAATTTATAGCATGATGCTAATCTTTAGTTAGCTAGTTTGCACTGTGCTACAGCCTGTTCAGGTGCTGGAATTTATTTAGGTGACAACGCCTGAACACAACACAGGCTCTGCTCCAATATTAAGCGTGTGTGCTGTCTGTGTGGCGTGTCTGCCTTTTGAAGATCATTTACACACTGTCCATGTGTGATCACGATAAACCGACTGGCTGTAACCATGACAGCAATAACTGCGCTGGGCTCGGGCTGGTCTCAGTTATAACTGTCTTGGACTGTCGGGTTTGGTCAGGAAAATGCGGCTTGAGCTGCGCTCTAGTGTGAACCCTTACAGAGTCGTTGACCCACCCAGCCATCATGTGTGTCTTTAGGGTCAGATGGGTCAGGTGTGAATGGCTGTAAAGTCATCTGGGGAGGGGTCTCAGGACTGCAGGGTAAATGGGTGATAAGTGGTGTCGTAGTCCACCTCCTCTGTTTAACGATGGTCAATCCAGTTTGATGTAGAAAGAAAAAGAAAAAAATGGTGTAAAAGAAGTCGCCTACGTCAAACTGAAATGACCATCGTTAAACAGAGGAGGTGGCCTCCATTTATCACAGTCCTGAGAACCCTCCCCAGACAGACAGTGTTAGTTTTATCCAGGTGTACCTAATAAACTGGACACAGAGTGGATTGCAACCGCTGACAGCACCATGACTTGTGATAGATAGATAGATACTTTATTGTCATCATTTTCATAACAACAAAATTAAAAAGTGCATCCTCTGCAGTGTAAAAGACAACAAAAAGCTATGTTAAGAAACAGTAACAATAATTTAAAAACTATAAACAATAGAGCTATAATTGGACGTTGGACGCAACAAAAACATACATACACCCAGTCTACCTGTGCACACCCCCTTGTTCATGGTAGACCTTGGAGGGATAACATCGATGCCCTGTAACCCAGCAGCAGCAGACCCGGAACCGGTCCCCTCACCAGGGAACATCACCAGCGGCAGCCCAACACCGGTGGACATCTGCGGGGCCATGCCGACAGCCCAACGCCTAGCAGCAGATCCGGAACCGGTCCCCTCACCGGGGAACATCACCAGCGGCAGCCCGACACCGGTGGACATCTGCGAGGCCGCGCCAACGGCCCAACGCCTAGCAGCAGATCCGGTCCCCTCACCAGGGAACATCACCAGCGGCAGCCCGACACCGGTGGACATCTGCAAGGCTGCGCCGATGGCCCAACGCTTAGCAGCAGTTCAGTTGCAGGACATACATCCAGATACGGTAATGCAAAGACACTCTCTAAAAAGGTCAAAAATGATATCCACTGTAAAACACCTTTTACTGTGGACGCAGCACTACATAAACGACAGTTTAAATTGTTGCAAACTGTAAATCATGCCAAAATTATCTGGGACACTAAACTTAAACCCAAAGGTATTTTTGGTGGACATATTAACGTCAGAAGTATCCTTTCCAAATCAGAACAACTTGATAAACTACTGACTGACTCAAACCTCGATTTTCTAGGACTATCAGAGACTTGACTGACTCCAACAACACCCTCTGGCATCTTTAATATTACAGGTTTTAATGTGTTCCGAAGAGACCGCTTACATGACAAAGGTGGCGGTGTTCTACTGTATGTAAAAAACAACTTACATTGCACACAGATTGACCTCAGTAATAACCCCCTCGAATGTGTTGGTGTCACTGTTACCCTCTCTCCTGAAATGTTGTATTATACAGGCCACCAAATGAAAGAGATGTGTTCTTTGAACACTTATCTAACGTTCTCAAACTCTGTGGTGACAAAGAAACACTACTGATGGGTGATTTCAATCTAAATTGGCTAGATAAATCGCGGCGTACTAAATTAAAAAAATCTCACTACTAAATTCCACTATTCGCAAACCATTACAAACCCTACAAGAATTACAAAATCCCCCCAAACTCTCTTGGACTTGCTTTTTACTAATATACCGGACCGTATAACAAAAACCTACAATTTGATCACTGGTATATCAGATCATAATCTCACTTTGGTGATTAGAAAATTATCTAAAATGAGATTAAGAAACAAGAACAGCAGGGAAGGGGAAAGGTACATATCACTTATACCAAAGAAAGATAGAGAGAATTTTGAAAAAGAAATAAGGCAAACAAACTGGAATGATACAACCGCAGGTATAAATTGTGAACAGACCTGTGATACTATGCTGTCAGCAATTAAAAAAATTATATCACAGTATACAAAAACAATCGCACATAAACACAGGGCAAAACAGAGTTTACCGTGGTTTAATGATTCAATATGGCAACTGATGAAGAAAAGGGACGCCGCCCTGAAAAAATCCCTAAAAACAGGTCTAAATACAGATCGCTTGATCTATAAAGGGCTTAGGAATAAAGTCATACAGCAACTCAGGAAAACCAAAACAAATTTTTTTCTTGAAATGATTAAGGAGGCAAAGGGTAAAAGTAAAACACTGTGGAAAAACATTGATAAACTCTCGGGGCGACATGACTCAAAAAGAGAAGTCACGCAACTTAAATTAAATGGTACACTTCAAGATGACAACTTTCTAATAGCAAACAGTTTTAATGACCATTTTATCAGCTCGGTACTACAGCTGGGTCGAAATTTTACACAAACTCATATTCACCAAATTACAGTCTCTGATGAAGCAACACTGAATCTTAAACCCACCACTGAGGCAAAAGTAATTAAAATTCTCTCCTCCCTGACCAGCTCCAGAGCAAGAGATATTCATGGACTTGACGCTGTCTTCCTTAAAAAACATAAAAACGACCTTCTCATTCCAGTCACACGGATTATAAATCAGTCAGTTTTGGAGTGCACCTTTCCTAGTGCCCTCAAACATGCCATTGTAACTCCAATATTCAAATCTGGAGATAAACATGACATAAATAATTACAGACCAATCAGTATACTACCTGTCATTTCTAAAACAGTTGAAAAAATTGTGGCTGAACAGCTGGTAGCACATCTGGACTCTGAGGCACTGCTGCATCCTATGCAGTACGGCTTCAGAGCTAATCATTCAACAGAAACAGTGTGCTGCTACTTCATTGATAACATTAAATTCAATCTAGACAAAGGAGGAGTTGTAGGAGCAGTGTTTTTGGACTTGCAAAAAGCTCTTGACACAGTTAATCATTCTATACTTCTGTCAAAGCTGTCCAAATACAAACTGTCCATGAATAATCTTAACTGGTTCAAGTCATATCTGTCAGGTCGTACTCAGTGTGTGCAGGTAAATAATGTAATGTCAACATCAAGAGCGTGTACCATGGGAGTTCCACAGGGTTCAGTCTTAGGCCCATTACTCTTTAGTTTATATATTAATGATCTTCCATCAGTATGTGATGATGTGAACATCGGGATGTATGCAGATGACACAGTCATCTACATACATGGGAAGGATACTACACAAGTGGCAGATAAATTATCTCTTGTCATGGAAAAAGTGGCAAAGTGGCTCCAGGACTCATGTCTCACCCTTAACGTAGGGAAAACAGCCACCATGTTTTTTATGAACAAACAAAAATGTAGGGCAGGTCAGGTTCCTCCAGATGTAACTGTGTTTGGAGAGAAAATAAAAACTGTTGATGAGTTCAAGTATCTGGGCTTAACATTAGAGCCAACTCTTAGTTTTAAAAAACACATAAAAAGGATGAGCCACACCTTGAAATATGACCTAGTTACTTTTAGAT